AACATTTAAAGAACAAATTATTCCAATACTATATAAACTACTTGGGAAATTGGTGAAGAAGGAATCCTACCAAATTCTTTTTATGATACAAATATAGTGCCGATACCTAAACCGGGAAGAGCCAAAACAGAGAAAGAAAATCATAGACCAACTTCCCTGGTGAATATAGATGCAAAAATTTTAAATAAATTATTAGCAAAGAGATCACAACAACTTATCTTGAGGATAGTATACTATGACCAGGTAGGATTTATACCAGGAATGCAGGACTGGTTCAATATTAAGAAAACTATCAGCATAAGTGACCATATCAACAACAAAACTAACAGAAAAGCATTTGACAAAATACAACACCCATTCCTATTAAAAACACTAGAGAGCATATGAATAAATGGAGTCTTCCTTAAAATGAATAGATAGCAATCAAAAACCATCAGCAAGCATTATATGTAATGGGGATAAGCTAGAAGCAGTTCCAATAAGATGGGGGGGGGATGAAACAAGGATATCCATTATCACCACTGTTATTCAATAATGTGCTACAAATGTTAGCTGTACCAATCAGAGAAGAAAAAGAAATTGAAGGAATTAGAACAGGCAAAGAAACAAAGTTATCACTCTTTGCAGATGATATGATGGTATGCTTAGAGAATCCTAGAGAATCAAGTAAAAAATTACTTGAAATAATAAATACATTCAGCAAAACTACAGGATATAAAATAACACACAAATCATCGGCATTTCTATATATTACTAACAAAGCCCAACAGCAAGAGATAGAAAGAGAAATTCCATTTAAAATTACTGTAGACATTATAAAATATTTGAGAGTCTATCTGCCAAAACAAAACCAGGAACTATATGAACACAATTACAAAACACTTTTCACACAAAAAAGTCAGATCTAAATAATTGGAAAAAATATCAGTTGCTCATGGTAGGCAAAGCTAAATAATAAAAATGACAATTCTACCTAAATTAATTTACTTATTCAGTGCCATACCAATCAAACTACCAAAATTATTTTATAGAGCTAGAAAAAACAATAACTAAATTCATCTGGAAGAACAAAAGATCCAGAATATCAAGGGAACTAATAAAAAGAAATGCAAGGGAAAGTAGCCTAGATGTACCAGATCTTAAATTGTATTATAAAGCAGCGATCAACAAAACTACTGGCTAAGAAACAAAGTGGTGGATCAGTGCAATAGGTTAGGAATAGGTTAGTATGGTCAATGACCATACTAATCTACTATTTGATAAATCCAAAGATATCTGGAATAAGAAATCGCCATGTAACAAAAACTGTTGGGAAAACTGGAAAATAGTATGGCAGAAACTGGGCATAGACCAACATCTTACACCCTGTACCAAGATAAAGTCAAAATGGGTATAGGATTTAGATATAAAGACTGATACTATAAGCAAACGAGGAGAGCATGGAATAGTTTACCTTTCAGATCTATGGAGAAGGGAAGAATTTATGACCAAACATGAGACAGAGAATATTATGAAATGTAAAATGGATAATTTTTATTACATTAAACTGAAAAGTTTAATCCAATCCATCAAAATCCAATCCATGAAAAATTAGACAGGAAGCAGAAAACTGGGAGAGAATTTTTATAACCAGTGTCTCTGATAAAAGCCTCATTTCTAAAATATATAGGGGGATAGAGAATTTATAAGAATATAAGTCATTCCTCAGTTGATAAATGATCAAAGGATATGAACAGGCAATTTTCAGAGGAAGAAACTAAAGCTATCTATAGTCATATGAAAAATGCTCTAAATCACTATTGATTAGAGAAATGCAAATCAAAACGACTCTGAGGTACCACATCACTCCTATCAGATTGACATGACAAAACAGGACAATGATAAATGTTGGAGAAGATGTGGGAAAATTGGGACAGTAATGCATTGTTGGCAGTGTTGTGAACTGATCTAACCATTCTGAAGAGCAATTTGGAACTATGCACAAAGGGCTATAAAATTGTGCATATCCTTTGACCCAGCAATACCACGTCAAGGTTTATCTCCCAAAGACATCATAAAAATGGGAAAAGGACCCACATGTACAAAAATATTTATAGCAGCTCTTTTTGTGGTGGCAAAGAATTGGAAATTGAGGGGATGCCCACCAATTGGGGAATGGCTGAACAAGTTGTGGTATATGAATGTAATGGAATACTATTGTGCTATAAGAAATGATGAACAGGCAGACTTCAGAAAACCCTTGAAGGACTTGTATGGACTGATGCTGAATGAAATGAGCAGAACCAGGAGAACACTGTACACAGTAACAGCCACATTGTGTGATGACTGACTTTGATAGACTTAGCCCTTCTCAGCAATACAAGGATCTAAGACAACTCCAAAAGGCTGATGATGGAAAATGCTGTCCACATCTAGAGAAAGAACTATGGAGTCTGGATGTAGATGGAAGCATACTATTTGCTCTCTTTTTCCTTTGTTGTTTTGTTTTATTGCTGCATTCTTGTGGTTCCTCCCATTAGTTCTAATTGTTCTTTACATCATGACTAATGGGAAAATATGCTTAATATTAATATATAAGTACAGCCTATATCAGATTGCATGCCATCAGGCATGAGGAGAGGAAAGGGAGGGAGAAAAAATGTAAAACTCAAAATTTTATGTAAGTGAATGTTGAAAACTAAAAATAAATAAGTTAATTATTTAAAAAAACTCACAAAAGACATGATGAAGGAAGAGGAGCACAAGATGACCACAAATGTAGAAGCCTCCTGGAATCTTCAATTTTATCATAGTCTATATCTTTTGAAGTCCACACCAGTGACGTAATTTGTTCTGGAATCTCCCAAAATAAGGTGACTTGTGGCTTCCAAAGATACAGTCCCAATAGGTCATAGCATGATACCAAGGCAGCTATGACTTGGTCCCAAAGGGTAACTAATTGGAGAGTAAGAAGATGGGTTGCATCCCACTTTTCCCCCTGGATATCCAATCATAGGGTCTTTTCCCCACACTACCTTTTCACTCTATTTCCTATGACTGTCTAAGCTCTTTATCTCTCTTCTTCTGCTTTGGGCTTAATTCTCTCCAGTTGACCCCACACCAGCATACACACACCCTGCAACCCAACACCTCAACTGTGGCAGGCACTTTCTGGTGGCCTCTGTGCTCCCAGGACTGACTTGCTACCCAAGATAATAATAAGTAGCTCTACCTTGCCCCTTCCCATTTCATTTTTGGTGGGATAGAGCTGCACAGTATGATTTTGCATGGATGGGATGTAATTTACATCATAAAATCTCATATTATCTTTCCCTCAAACTCACCCCCCTTTTGAATGTCTTTATTGCTGTCACGGGCACAACCATCCTTTCAATCAGTGAAGTGCATAATCTTGCTGTCATATTCAAATCTTCACTCTACTACAACCCACACATCCAATCAGCTGCCAAATTTTGTTGTCTACCTCCTTAATATTTCTCTCATCTATGCCCTTTTCTCCACTCAGAGAGCCACCACCCTCATTCAAGCTCATAACTGATCTCTCTGACTGAAGTCTCTCCCCACTCTCTCCTCTCTCCATTCTCCACACAGTTCTGATTACGTTGCTCCCCTTCTCAATAAGTTCTATCGGTTCCCTTCCAACTCTGATAAAATATTATTTCATCTTTTCAATTTCCATTTTTATTAGTTGTATAATACACAGGATTATTACCTGTGTATGTACCCATGTATATTTATAAACATATTAGGGTATAAGTAAAAAAAAATTACGATGGGGTGATCAAAAAAGTTTGGACACCACTGATCTAGAAGCTCTCCAGCATCAATGAAACTTTGGCATTACTATCAAACATAATTTTCAATCATTTCCCAGTTCATAATTGAAGGCCAATAACTCTGGCCTTCAGAAATGCAGCTTGTATTTCTCCAGGTTTGCACGTTCACTTTCTTTATTTATTGATAGCTTCTTATAGTAATATGAGGGTGTAACTATCCCTGTCTCCAAGGAGCTCTGTTTACTTAAGCCACCAATGTCAATTTTTCATTCTTCTAAAAATGGCTTTGATCATTTATGTGTGGTAATTTGAACTATCAGTAGCATGAATTATCAGGGTGCTTGTCTTAATGCATTGGTATGTTGTTTGTTGTTGTATTTGCTAAACTCTCTAAAACCTTCAAATGAAATTCACTGTATGAGTATGATTGGAATCTCTTTCTGTTAGCTTGGGTAGTATTTGTAAAATAAGAGAGGGTTCATTTTTCTCTATATATTCCATCTTACATTCAAGACATTATTATAAGTATACCTTCTCTTGCACCTTTGAAAGGTTCTTTAAAATAGGTTTGAAAAGTTAGATCCTAAAGATGGCAGCTAGGTGGCACAATGGATAGAGTTCTGGGCTTGGAATCCGGAAGAGTCATCATCACGAGTTCAAACTGACCTTAGATATTTAATAGCTCTGTGACCCTTCAAATCACCTATGCCTATTTGCCTCAGTTTCTTATCTGTAAAATAAAATGGAGAAGGAAATCACAAACCACTGCAGGATCTTTGCCAAGAAAACCCCAAAATGGGGTCAGGAAGAGTCTGACATGACTGAAACAAGCAAACAACAACAAAAGATGGCATATCATAAAAGCATCTCTTTTCTCAGAATTCCTAATTAAATTTCTGATGGTAGTTTGTTTCCCCTAAAAGAATGAAGCAAAATTTAATATTTGAGGAAGAAAAAGGAAGGAATCTTTCCCCAAATAGTTAATTACAGTTTATCAATGTTATAAGCTACATAATTTCAGGCTATAAAATGCTTCTGAAAATAATCTCAGTGACAATGCAAGCTTCTGTTTTGTTATTCTAAAAATAAAGTTGCCAATTGTCTCAGTTATGTGTTTCCTTTACATTTACTAGATGCATTGTGTATTTTAAAGTCTTTACATCAAAGAAAGAATAATCTAATAAGATAAATTTAATAGAAAAATACTTTTCAGAAATTGAGAACATGGTCTCCAGTCCTCTTGCCATGTTGGTAACCCTTTCTCTGGATGTACTCTAGCTTCTCAATGTCCCTCATAAATGTGAAGCCATGAATAAAATACTCTAGATGTCATCTGGCCAAGATGGTGTCTACTGGGTCTGTCACCATTCTTATTCTGATCACTACATAATACTTTTTTTTTTAAGTGTATATAATATAGCTTAAAGTTACATTAGGGTTTTTTGTTTGTTTGGCTCTCATGCCACCCTGTTAACTAAAAGAGGCTTGCCATCTTTTGAGAACTGTTTTTTTTCATATGAACTTCCTTGAATCTATTTTCTTCTAGTATTTGTATCTTTCATTGTCTATGCTTTCCTGTAATTCTCTCCTTTTCTCTCTTCTCTTCTCTCTTTAAGCAAAGTTTCTATGTATCTAAATCATCTGGCCCTTACCTCTTTCTTTTTCTCTCCTCTTCTTACTGTCTGTCTCCCTTTTAACTTAACTGCCCATACTGTGAAAATGCTTATGTCAATCAGCAAGCATTTATGAAGAACCTACTTATGTGCCTGACCCTTCAAAATAGCTCTTGTCCTCAAGAAGCTTATATTCCAATGGGGAAAACATGTACGTATTTAAGTATATGCAAAATACATAAATGTATATGAAAGGTCATTTTTTGGAGGGGGATGTAATAATAATAATGGCTAGTAATTATATAGAATTTTAAGGTTTGCAAAGCACTTTACAAATATTACCTCATTTTAATCTCACAACACTCTTGAAGGTAGGTGTTACTATTATCCCCATTTTATAGATAAGGAAACTAAAGCAGATAGCAGTTAAGTGTATTAGCAGTTGGGGAGATCAGGAAAGGTTTCATATAGAAGTCTGTGCTTGAGCTGAGACACCAGGAAACTATGGATTCCAAGAGATCAGAATGAAGAAATGTATATTTTTGATTGCTTATTAGTTAATTTTATGCTGCTTGTTATAAACATTTTAAAGGCTCATATGTATATTTGTATTTCTCCTACAACCCTTCCCCACCCAATCTGAAATCAAACAAGTTGCTTTTTACTTGGCATATTGGATTGTTTTTTCCTCCTCTTGTGGGCTTGTGGTCCTTGGTAGAAAAAGGGACCCACATCCTTTTTCTTAATTTTTATTCTGGAGAGAGAGTGAGAGATAATTCCATATATATATATATATATATATATACACATATACACAAATATATATATACACATATATACATATATTCGCACATATTCACACACATATATATATCAGAACCCCAAAACAAGATCTTTTATAAAACTAAGTCTCCATTTCATATTGCATGATTCAGTAAAAATATATATATAATAAATTCTATGTTATTTTCAAAACTGCCACGTTTGTGCTTCCTTCTGAACTTCCTTCTGTTCTTTTCTGTGTATTGTTTTTAAAATACAGCCTTTCCTTATATATACTTTAAAAAAAGATCAGAAGGAGATCTTTGTAGTTCTTTTGCATCTAAACAAAGCAGCTGTAATTTCACATTTGGGAAACATTCATAGACTCAAATATAGATCTTAGAGCCGGAAGAGGCATTAAAGATCACCTATAAATCACCTAATTTTATAGATGAAGAAGCTGAGGCCTACAGAGAAGAAAACTTCCCAAGGTCACCTGGGTAATAAGTAGCAAACCTAGAATTCAAAGTGGATCACCTCGGTGAAAATTCAGTGGTCTTTCTACTACTCTGTTAGGTCACCTGTTCTTCAAAATGGGTGATTTCTTCCATCCTGTGAGGACGTGAGACTCCTACCCTCTTTCATTCATTCTTTTATTTAATAAGCATTAATTGAAGGCCTGTTCTGAGCATTATACTGTGCTCTGAGGAATACAAAAATTCAGGATATCATACATCTAGCAAGTAAACAGAAGCATGATTTAAACTCAGGTCTTCTAGACACCAAAGGCAGCATTCTTTCCAATGCACTAAACTGCCTCTATGATGTACTGGTAAGATAAGAGCAAACATTGCAATATTAAGTATAGTTAGAAAGTTGACTGGATTTGGAATCAAGGATCTGAAGATTCAAATTGTGCATTTTGGATTTGGTACCATAGGTTTGAATTATGCTTTTCTAACTTTGTGACATCTGAGCAAGCAACTTTCTCCTTTCTGTGCCTCAGTCTGCCCATCAGTAAAATGAGGGCCCTACTAAACCTGGAAAAAAATGCACTTGTGTCTACCCTTAGCCTTAGCCCTCACACCTTATGCTCCTGGCCTCCTCCGGGGGTGGGCAGAGAGCTGACCAGCTGTCACTGACCTATACAATCTCAGAGTCTTAGAGGTCCTCGGCTTTTCTGCCTTCCAGTCTCTCCTGGTTCCAAGAACCAGGGCATCCCGGATTCCTCGCCATCCCCTCCTCCTGCTCCCCAGGGAGGCTGGGGACTGAGAAGTGTGGGGGGGGCGCAAGGAGCTCCCTGGCCCCACTGCACTGAGGCATCCCCCGTGCGTCTGCCCAGGTGAGCACACACGTGCCCGCCTGAGTCCTCTCAGGTGAGGACATTCAGTTCCCTCTCCCACTTCGGGTCAAAACCGCGTGGAACAGGCAGATCGGGGCTAGGCCCCGCACTCTCTCTGCGCCATGGACAGGCACCTGCAGCTTTCTCCACCTTGCCCTTTACCTTTCCAGGCCACTCCCCGGGCTGAGGTGCTGGAGGAGGTGCTGAGGGAGCAGTTTGGGACCCGGCCCCAGTTAGCAGCCATCAGCCGGATGAAGAGGCAGCCGTCGGGCGCCTACACCTCCACGGAGGACTTGAAGGAGGTGCTGGAGAGGCGGCAGGTGGCCAACGCCAAGGAACGGGAGCGGGTGAGGGCTCTCCCGCCTGGCACCACGAGTCACCTCTTTCTCGTCCCTTCCCCCCTCACCTCCTTGCCCCCCGAGAATCAATTCGTCAATTTCTCACTTCCTTTGCCCGCCCTTCCTCTCCACCTCATGCTTTGGGATGTTGTGAGGTGATGGTCTCAATGAGTGAAGGAAATAGAAAGGGGGTTGACTTCCTGGTGGCCTCCTCCCTTCCACTTTTATTCTAGGTGGTTCAGGAGGTACAGAACAGTCTAAAGCTAAACTTCTCATTTCAATGACCTTCCTAGCCCTTCCATACCCGGAGCACGAGCCTCAGATAACCCCGAAAGAGCCAGGGACACTGTCCCACCCTCCCTCACAAAGTCCTTTTGTTTGTAATCCCTTTAGATTCTCACACATCCCCAATTCTGAAGAACCACTGTTAACATTGCTGGAGTATTTTGTTAGCTGGTTTAGGAAGAGTGGGAGGGAGAAGGGGGTGGGTGTGCAAATGCTTCTCAGAATTTCCTAGGAAATAGTTTACTGTGTGGGCTTTTTTTTCTTTTTTTTTAAGAGTTTCTTAGCCCACAGAGATTTTCACTTAATGCTTCCTCTGATTATGGAGTTGCTAGTGTTCTGATAGCCCACTGGGTGTGTTTCTGCCATAATTCCCCTTTCCTCTCTAATTCATCCCTATAGCAAAGACTCAATGAGATTGAAATAGACTATTATATTTCCTTTTATGGAAATAATAAGTAATCCTATGGCATTAATATAGCTCCCTACCAAATTTTATGGAAGCAAATGAGAATGGACATTTTTCTAACCAAGTTGTTTCTTTAACCTGTCTGAGGACCTGGTTTGCAAACAAGGGCTCCCTATGTAAGGTTTGGCAATAGGATACAGCATTATCCCAAGTTAGAAATCCTTAGGGAACTAGCATGGTCCGATGGTCATGCTCAGTCACTTAGAAATGTTACATCATACCCCAGGGGCCATGTCATTTTCCTGTATCTGTTTGAACAGCTTATCTGGAAATGGTCGTATTAACTTTCAAACATCACTTACAGATAAGTTATCTGGGTTAGTCATTAAAAGCTATGAGAGCTTGGATGGCTTCTACTACAAATGGGTTTGACACCCAGATGCTTGCTCAATCTGCTTCCCTATTTTTTTTTTTTAAGCAATCATTTTCATTAGTGTCTAGAGAAGCTCCATTACCACCCCACTTTGGAAAGGAGAAATAGTGGGGCGAGAAGACAAAATTCCCTTTTTGTCTGGGGTTAGGCCCACTAATGAGAGCATAATAATATCAATAATAAACTTTGAGTGACTACTATGTGTCAGGTATGTTAAGTGCTGGGGATTTTAAAAAAAAAAAAAAAGGCAAAAGATAGTCTCTGTCCTCTAGGAGCATACAATCGTCTCTGAAGCTATCACAATTTTCAATAAACTAGGTCTTGCCTTCTTAGGGTTGCTGTGGTTCTGTCAGCATGGCTAACTCCAAGTGTGGAAATTACTTCTAACCAAAGCAGATGGGAAACTACTCTGTAGCCCATAAGTTGTCTATGGTACTTAGAGGTCCAGTAACTTGTCTATGGTAAAACATCCAGAGATAGGACTTAAACCCAGATATTCCTGACTAAGACTGGCCCCTTAAGATCTGTGCCAAACTGCTGCTCTCAACCAGAACTTGATAGTTATAAATGTTTTTAGAGGAAAATGTAAAAGAAAAGAAGGACTTAAGAAGCTGAAGGATTAGCTTGGAATATTGGAAAAGGTGAATTTTTAAAAGAGCCACCTATGAATTTTCTAGTGTTGAAATGGGAGGATTCTCTGACTTCAGAATATGGGTCCCTACTTTTGGACAGGAAGATCCTTATGGTCTGAAATAAATGTTTTACCACACTGTCATAACTTATTTAAGGAAACCTTTAAAATATCTCCTATCTTGTGACTTGATATTCATCAAGTACACCTTTGGTCTATAATTTGATATCCTGAGTGGGCCTACTGACCAAGAGAGTAGATATAAATACTTTGAGTACCTTTTAACTTTTGGTTCCAATTCCTAACTGTGATTTCCCCCCTCCCCCAATAATATATACTTTATTTGAGGCATCTATCTTTGTGCTTCTAATTGAGATTAACTGTTAAATGAGCTGCTAATACTTGCTTTAAACTCTTTATTCTGGTTTATTTACTATTCCAATGGGCTCTAAAGGCAAAATATTAAAAATATTCAAGCTCTAAGTGTTTTTTTTTCCTTTCCACCACAGACCTAAAGTAATGCTTTATTTTGTACCTCTCCGAAATATTCTAAAAGTAAGACCAGACTCGAATCGAAAGGTTTTGCTGTCACATATACATATGAAAGGCAGGAATGTGACTAGGCTAGTATGAGAGAAGATAACTTTGCACCCCAATCCTCCACCCCCATCCCTGGATTTAGCTTTGCCTCTATGCTTACCAATCTAAATGAGGGACAGAGGGAGAGAGAGGGGGAGGGGGAAGGGAGGGGAGGGGGTTTTGGAACTGAGAAAATCGGGACTCTGAACTTTACGTCCTATGGTAATTGTTAGCTAAATAGCCCCTTTGTGTGTTGTGATTTAATGTACTCTAGCCTTCCAGAGTAAAAATGAGGTATATGGAAGCCTTGCCTTAAGTTAGAATGATGTTGCCCACTAGGAAGCTCAATTTAAGAGAAACATGAGGCTGTGGGCACTGGATATTTAATTAGGAATATAACTGCCATTTCTTATAAAGAAGTAAAAATCTGCTAGAGATGAGAGGTTGCCTAGTCAAGACTATGAAAAATGAGTAAATCCAGCTATTCCATAAAGGAAAAAGTCAGGAAGTTGTGTTTCACCCCGCCCCCCCAAAGATGAACTCTTGCTGGACCGTGGTTGAGTGAACGACTACTGACTTTCTAAACTGTGTGTGAGTGTGTGTGTGTGTGTGTGTGTGTGTGTATATGTATGTGTATGTGTATTTGAAGCTTCAGGCTTTAACCTAAAAGCAGAAGAGAGGCCATTCTTTTCTTGAAGAGAATTTATTAGCCAAAGACTTCAAACTGAACAAAGAAGCTTAGAGAAGAGAAACTCTATAGTTACATACCCAGCAGGTACCCAGCATGCCTTATAGTGTCTGGCAGATATGAAATGACAAATGGAGATCATATGCCAAGAGGGGCAACTGCCGTTGTGGCCTTTCCCTAGTGGGAAAGGATGATATCATTAGAAAATGTCAATGGCTTTGCCACATGGAAGGTATGAATTGCCCTTCCATACATGTATTTCAGACACATTCTTACATGAATGCCCATGAAAACATGTGTTGTCTACATGAGTCCATTCTTCCACTGGTGTGTATTTGTTTGCAACTCCAGGATTATAGGGGAGATGTTTTATTATTACTTTTATTTCTATACTATTTCATCAAATGACATGCCTTGGGTTAATCGTGTGCCTCAATTGACTGATAAAAGTAAATATATCAGTGAGGCATACCTTGAACCATGAGTAATCTTGTCTGAGGGACCTATTATTCTAGATGAGGGGTGCCCCTAGGTACTACATATAGTTTTGTTAGCTGTTTGTGGTTTGTGCTCCCACTTTAGTCTGTGAGTTCCATGAGCTCAGGAATCCTGTCTTATCTCAACTTTGTGCTTCAGCCAGAAGACTCTATACATAGTAAATGCATAATAAATGTCTGAATTTTGTTTTCTAGATAAAAAATCTAAATCGTGGATTTTCCAAATTGAAGGCCATTGTGCCACTCCTTCCCAAAGACAGGAAGCCCAATAAGGTTGACATTCTTAAAACGGCAACTGAATATATACGCCTTCTGCGTGAGATTTTAGAAGACACCAAAGACTTTGAGGTAAGGTATGATAATCTCAAAATGACAAAGACTTCATTGTCATTTTCTCCCTCAATTAAATTCCATTTCCAAGCTATGTTTCTTTTAAAAAATCATTTGATATAACCTATTTGCGGATCACCTCCTTTCATCTCCTGCTTGCCTTCCTGTCACTCTTTCCAAACCCAGGGCTAGATGGGAACATGGGTTCATACCAGGATAAAGATAAGCACAATCTACGATGGGTAGAATTTTAGGGGAAATAGGAAATCTTTTTATCCCTTAATTTTCCATTAGAAAAAACAGACCCAGAAACAGTGATTTTTGCCTGAGGCCACAGAGCTACTTAATGGCAGAGATAGGGCTAGAAGGGAAGCTAAGTGGTACAGTAGATAGAGTGCTAGGCTTGGAATTGGGAAGACTCATCTTCCTGAGTTCAAATCTGGTCTCAGATATTTACCTGCTGTGTGACCTTGGGCAAGTCACTTAACTGTTTGCCTCACTTTCTTCATCTGTAAAATGAGCTGGAGAAGGAAATGGCAAACCACTCTAGTATCTTTGCCAAGAAAATTCCAAATGGGGTCACAAAGAATCAAACATGACTAAACATTTTTTTTTTTTTTACATCTTTGGTACCTTCCATAAATAAAGTCAGATTTAAATATGTGAAATTCTTTAAGTAAGTGGTGAAATATACAAAGTTTATCTTAAAGGTTTTCTTCCCAAATTAGCCTTTGCTGGGAATGAATTGCATCTTTAGTTCCTGGCCTAGCTCCTTCATGGTACATACTAGGAAGGAATACTGATTTTGTAGTCAAAGCCTGAATTTGCTTTTTTTGTATCTTCTATTTATTATTCCTGATTCTGCCTTATGGGGCCAGACAGAAAAAGGCTAAACCATACAGAAGCCCTTCACATACTTGAACACAGTTATCAGGTCTCACTCAAATCCTCTCTCCTTCAGGCTTAACATATCCAGTTCTTTCACCCACTCCTTATGCGCCATGAACACAAGTCCCTTCATCATTCTGGTTGCCCTCTTCTGAATTCTCTTTAGTTTATTATTGTGCTTCTTAAACTAGGCTGCCCAGAACTGAAAACAATAATACATACATTTGATTAGGTAGAGCACAGCAGCAATAATGCCACACTACTCTTGGAAACTATGACAGTCTTAATGCAGCCCAAGACTATATTAGCTTTTACGGTTGCCATAGTACATTGCTGATTCATAATGAGGTTCCAATCCATTAAAAAATCTAGATAATTTTTTCCCCTAGACAAATGGTAACTAACCATGCCTCTACCACCCTGTATTGTAAAGGTATATATTTGTAGAAGACTTTTTATTTTATTCCAAATGATTTTCATTTTATCAGATTCAGCCTTAAATTCTAGCCTATTCAGATCTTTCTGGATTCTGTTATCTAATAAATTAGCTTTCCAGCTGGACATTATCATCTGACTCTGAGAATGCTCTCTATATCTTTATCATAGAGGCAGTTAGGTAGAGCAGTGAGTACAATGATGGATCTCAGGAAGACCTGAGTTCAAATTCAGGCTCGGATACTTACCAGCTGTGTGACTGGGCAAGTCACTTAACTTTTGCCTCAGTTTCCTCACCTGTAAAGTAGGGATAATAAATTGTGAGGATAAAATGAGATATTTGTAAAATGCTTTGTAAACCTTAAAGTACAACATAAATGCTAGCTATTATTATTGTTGTTGTTATTTATCAGTCAGTATTATTATTTTGGTTTTTGCTTTTCGGTGAGGCAATCCGAGTTAAGTGACTTGCCCAGGGTCACACAACTAATAAATATCAGGTGTCTGAGGCCGGATTTGAACTTGGGTCTTCCTGACTCCAAGGCCAGAGCTCTATCCACTGCGCCACCTAGCTACCCTGATCAGTCACTAATTTAAAATGAAATCTGAGTCTGAGAAAGTATTGCAGCTCTACTCGTGAACTGGTGAAAATTCAGAAGTCAAGAAGAGCCACTGACTGGCTCCAGATCTGGGCCCCACTAGTGCCATATAATTAACATCTGAGCGAGGAGTCTTCCTGACTCCAAGCCCAATGCTCTACCCACTTTGCCACCTAGCAGCCCACAAGCAGATACTGTAGTGCCTATTTTAGGGCAGGGAGGAAGGAGGCTTTTTAAGTAATCCCCTTGGTATATTTTGTGCTTTAGATCCAAAGAGGAAAATGGATTTGTTTGGTTGATTTTGTAGCCAGTAAAGATGACCAAAAAGTGACCTGTAGTGTATCATTTCCTGATTCCTTGGGCAGCCTTTTCTATGCAAACCTGGTATTTCTCTTATCTTGAACCATACTTGTTTCAGTGGATATTTATTGACCATTTACATTGTGTAAGTCCTTTGGCAAGGTGGTTGGGGTTTGAAAATGAGTTTATCTTGCTTACATGCTGTATTGTCCCCTACCCAACAATGGGACATCAAATCCTTGAGGGAAGGAACTGGTTTTCATTGTCTGTAATCCCAGTGCCTTGCTCATAGTAGACATTTAGTAAGCTATTGGATTGGAAGGGGCTGTTCTTGCCCTAGGCACTTATGGTCTAGTAGAAGATAGTGTAAAGAAATAGTAGATGATATAGTTGGCTAAACTTAATGGAATTGGATTATGGCAGGCCTTGAATGTCAGCTGGAAAGGTTAGCACTGGATTGTGGAGGAAATAAGGAAGTACTGAAAGTTTCTTAAGGGCAGAAGCATTTCAACAAAGATAATGTATGTGGCATTATAACCTGAACTGCACATTTCCATAGGGTTGGAATCAATTACCATATTTTAGATAATTGTGACTTTAAATAGTATGAATTCAGATAAATGAACATTTCAGAGGCTTCATCATTTGCACTAATTGGGACCTAGCTGTATGGCAGGCGAGATAAGATAGATATGAAAATAACTTTAACATAGCATAAGAAGATTACGATAAAATTTTATGGGAATTGAAAAGAGGAAGAGGGTTTTTATATGTATTAGGGAAAGCTTCACCAAAGAGATAGAATTTGAGTTAGATCTTGAAGGCTATTATTACTCACAAACTGCAGTTCTGATCATACATTCTTTCCTGAAACAAACAAAAAACCTCCAATGAGGCCTCATTACCCATAAAATAAAGTCCAAACTCCTTGGCATCTATCACTTGCTTTTTGTGTATCCTATTTTATTTTATTTTATTTTTTTGGACCAGACCCATGATTTCATCAGCATATGGAGCTCCTGATGAGAAATTTCCTGTACTAATGCAGATCAGTTGATAAACATTTATTGAACACCTACTGTGTGGAAGGCATTGTTCTAAGCACTGTGGATATAGATATGAAAAAATAGTCCTTGCTCTTAAGGAGCTTACAATCAGATGGAAGACAACAAACAAAAGGAAACTGAAAAGTGGGGTGGTGGTAGGCTTGGAAGCATGATGGAAAAAGTCAGAAATCCCAAAGTAGATCAGCACAGCCTATGCTCTGTTTTGGGTCCTTTTCTCTTTTCATTTTGTGTTATCTTACTTGATGATATCATCAGCTCCCATGGGTTCAATCATCATCTCTATGAAGATGATTCCCCAATTTATATATCCAACTCTGGTTTCTCTCCTGAGCTCTAGTCCCATATCACTAACTGCCTTCTGGTCATCTCAAACCAGATATTCCAAAAGCATCTTGAACTCAACGTGTCCGAAATAACTCATCATATTTGCTTTCAAACCCTCCTCTTTCTCTAGAATCCCTATTACTCTTAAGGGAAGCATCATCCCCCTTCCTAGTCACCTTGGATCAAAATCTTGGTGTTATCCTTGACTCCTCACATTGGTTGCACATATCCAATCCATTGCCAAATTTTTTCATTTGTGCCTTCACAATGTCTCTTATATGTGCCCCTTTCTCTCCATTCACACAGCCACTATTCTAGTTCATGTCCTCATCACCTCTCACGGGACTATTGAAATAGCTCCCAGACTGGTCCCTTTGCTTTAAGGCTCTTAATTACTCCAAGCTATTATCCACTCAGTTGAATGATTGTGATTGTTCCAAAGCCCAAGTCTGACCTTGTCACCATTTCCCCTTCACCCCCAATGAGGTCCAGCATTTCCCTATTAATCTAAGATCAAATACAAACTGCTTTTGGGGGCATTATGGTGCTTCATAATCTTGCCTCTTCTTGCCTGCTTATATTTTATTCTCCATACTTTCTATGGTTTAGCTCCACTGGTGTTCTCCCTGTTCCTCAAACATGACACCTCATCTTACATTTCTGCGCCTTTGCACTGGCTGTTCTCCATACTTGAAATGCTCTGGCTCCCTTACTTTCAATTCTGGCTTTGTTAAAGACAGGAAGCCTTTCCCCCCACCCCTCAGTTCCCAGCTACTAGTGGCCTTCCCTTTGGAATTACCTTCTATCCACTCTGGATATCTCTTATACGCACTAAATTATTTATATGTTGTCTCCTCCATTAGACTGTGAACTTCTTGAAGGCAGGGACTGTTCTTGCCTTTTTTTTTTTTTATCCTTAGCACTTACCACAATGCTCAGGACATAGTAAATTGATAATAAATGCTTGTTGACTAACTATACATCTTGTAGTCCTGAAAAGTTGCCTGAGGTCAAGTGCCTTGTCTGTGGTCACTAAGCGAGTAGATGTGTCAGAAATGGGACTTGGAACCCAAGTCTTCATGAATCTCTAAACAACACTGTCCTCTATATCATGCTGCTGTTTCTAAAATATTCATGCATTGACTTATTCCTTTTTCTAGAAATTCTCATTCATCTCAATTTGTCTAAACCTCATACATCCTTTATAGACTAGCAGTCTTCCCTTAGCTAAAGCCTTCAAGCCTTCCCAGGTAGGAATAGCCCCTAATGCCCCATGATACTTGCCATTTTATTTTACTTAATTTTTCTATACAGACAAACATTTATCAATGATGTATTATGTTCAAGGGCAGCTAGGTGGCATAGTGGATAGAGCACTGGGCCTGGAGTCACTAAGACCTGAGTT